TTCCATAAATTGAATAAATTCCTTATCTTTTAATATTGATTGATTCAACATCCATCTTAGTTTCTTTTTTTGTCCTTTCCATATAACTTTTATTGGGTTATGGTCTGCCCTATTACTTGTTTCTATATTCAATTCTTGTAAATTAGATTTCAGTTTAGCTGTCATCCATATCATATCCATTCTTGATCAAGCCTATTTGAATAAAATGAGTATTGATTTTCCTTAGGATGTGTCTCTTGCCATACATCTTGGATCCAATTTAACCATTTTTAACCAATTTAACCATTTTTTAAAAAGCCTTTGGAAGCGTTTTCCTTGCTTTTTTGTTCACTTTCCTTGTTTTATAATCTAGTTCCGCATCTACAATTGCATTGAAATCTCCCGCTACACAAATATTTTCGTACTCTAATGGCTTGCTTTTGAACATCACCTTGGACCCTTGAGTTTGTTTCTTTTGGGCAGTTCACTCCCTTCTATCCAAGACATAGCATACAAGCATTGTTTAAGCACTGTCTGCAGTAATGTCTGGGACACTACACATCTTCTTCACAATCTGTTTTCCTTGTTACTTTCTGGGAGGAGGCTTCATGGTATCCGAAGCAGAACATCCAGATTCAGTCACAGTTTTGTTCCATACAGTATAAACCTTGTGAACTCTCAAGCTTCTTTCCTCAATGTATTCAGTGATTTAATATTTATATGCATTTATATATAAGGGTGTAGGTATATACATATATATGTATATAGTATGTCTACGTGTGTGTGCTATATATGTGTACACTTGGGAGCAGGCAATAGAATTTCATTTTTAATGTGTGCCAATGTGCCCACAGTAAAAAATGACAGTAAAGGTTATCTTATCTTTTTCCAAAGTCTGTTTCAGAATTTGACTCCCACCTTATTTTTTTCTCCACCATATCAAGTATTTTCATTACTAAGCTTATGATATATTTCTAACCATTTTAACTAGCTAAATATCTCTCATTACAAAGAAACAAAGGCACCGAACAATATATGGACATTTACTGAAGGCAAGAAGACTGTAATACAAATAATACCCTGATCTCATCAAGTATACAATGCTTTATGTACACCCCAAATTCACCAATATAGCGAAGCTTACTTCCTGAAAACACATTGAGGATTGCATGGTGAGTCATTAGCTGAAAAAAGCAATATGAGATAAAGTCTTAATCCTAAAATAGAAATGTTGCCCACTTAAATATCTGTCCAACTGTTTTTCGCTTGTGCAAGAGAAGAACTAGTCAAGAAAACTTAGTGATACTTGTATTCTCTCTATCTTCTAAGAACTATAAGTATATAAGATCATCTTTGTCGTCCCTTTTTTCTGTGAACACACTAGTTAGATCGAAGATAAGATAGATGCAGATAGGCAGAAAACATATTTCCCCCAAAATAAGACCAGGTCTTATTTTTGGAGGAAGTCTTACCTGCTTACCTTAGGACCACACAGCCATGTCTCCCATGCACCAACACCTGTCGTGACACTGTCCGACTTCTGCAGCCGCTTGCAGCCACATGCCATGCAGCTCATTGAGCTGGTGCCACAACTTGTGGCAGGATGCTGTAGCTTGTCGCGCTGGTGTCGCCATTTGTAGCAGGAAATTGTGTGGCACATTGTGCCATTGCGTGGAGTGGCAACACCGGTGTGATGAGCTTCATGGCATCCTGTCATGAGTGGTGGCTCCAGCATGATGTGCCACATGAAATCCAGCTGTAAGTAGTCAGAGAAGATGGGTAACGGCGCAACCAGGGTCGGGGCGTGGGAGGCCTGGTTGCGGTGGTCCTAAGGTAAATGAATACAGGGTGCGTGGGGCAGCTCCACTCCGTGCCCTACTTTGAATTTTACACCTGTGCCTCACCCCACCTTGTACAACCAGATGGTGGGCATGGCTTAACTGGGGCTTACTTTTTAGGTTGGGCTTATGTTAGGTGCAGGGGTGAAAATTGGGCTTGGGCTTGTTTTGGGGGTAGGTCGTATTTTCAGAAAAACATGGTAGATGGATATAAACACATACTGGCACATATACATGAACATATATATACATATGCTATATACAAACATATATAAACACACATACACACACCCTGTTTTCCCCAAAATAAGTCATATCCATAAAATAAGCCCAGAGGTAAGCTGGGTGGGACATATAGGGCACCTCCATCTTCACTGCCTCATGGTGGTGGCACTGGCACACCACGTGGTTGCCTGCACCAATGCAAGCAAGCAGTAATGGGCCTCCTGTACCTTTGGGGGGGGAATAAGACACCTCCTTGAAAATAAGCCCTAGTGTTTATTTTGGGTCCCAAAAGAAAATAAGGCCTGTTCTTACTTTCGAGGGAATACGTGTCTGTGTGTGTGTGTGTGTGTGTATGTATGTGTGTATATATATACATATGTATGTACATACATACATACACATACACACACACACACATTAATCACAGTCCATTTAGAATACATGACAAAAAGAGTTTTAAGAGTTAACAAGGTTGATACCGTATAGTACAAAGCTATTACATAATCTAGTTGTTCTGTTTTGGATACCACAAAGACTTCTTTGAGAAGGTAAGACAGAAAACCGGTCATAGAGAGGTGTCTCTAACAATACTGTGGACCCTGGTCATTTATCACTTTAAAAAGTCACTTACATGCTATATCCTGTATAGAAGTACGTGAACCTCCAAGAATACTATTTCCTGTCCGAAATAGTAATACTTCCAAACCACAATAATACAACAGGATGCATTCAATGATCCACCTGTAGAAAGTGGTAAGGGTAGGGGGAAGGAAGATGTGTTCTTCTCATACGACACAGAAAATGCAGGAGCTGCTGTAAGCGCTTCCACCAGTGTCTCCCTGTTGAGTGTCCAAACTAACCTGCTTGTCAGCTGCAGACCCAGAAACTTGATACTATTAACCACCTCCATAGTTGAATAGGTAATACAGAGGTGTATGGCTGTGCCTGCGTTTTCTGAAATGGATGATCTCTTTTGTTTTTTCTACATTTAAAATCAGGCTGTTTTTATTACACCAGTTCATCAAGCCTTCTATCTCCTTCTGGTAATCACCCTCATTTATCATCCTGAATAAGGCCCACCACTGTTGTATTGTTCACATACTTCACAATATGGTTGGTAGCAAACCTTGCACAACAATCATATGTCAAGAGGGTGAATAACAGAGGAGTACCTGTGCTCAAGTCATATTAATCCCAACTCGCATACTGTGGGGCCTATCAGTGAGAAAATCAAGAATCTATTTGCACAAAGGTCTAATATAACCTAAAAGATGCCATTTATCTTCTAAAATGCTGAGGAATGATCGTATGAAATGCCAAACTAAAGTCAACAAACAACATTCGCATATCAATATTTCTTTTCTCTAAGTGTGCCAAGCTCAGATGGAGGCTAGAGGACATAATATTCTTTATGAAGCTATTTGGATGGTAAGCAAACTGAACTGGAGGGAGGCTGGATTATATTAAACTCCTTCATCAGCCTTTCAAAACATTTCATAATGATGGACATAAGTGCAACCAGGTGCTAATCATGAAAATCAATTAAATTATTCTTCAGCAATGAATGTAGAGCAAAAGTTCTATCAAGAAAGTTCTGGTTGATTTTTTTCACACAGAAAGAAAGTGAGAGATTTTGGAGTTGATTGCTTGGAAGGACAGCACGCCAGATTTTCTATTTTACAAAAACAGCATTTACAGGACTACTCAGAGGAAAAACCTGTTCCAGATAGTCCTACAGCACTCAGTCTTGTTTTCAACACTGTAGGTGAAACGAGGCTGTCCGGAACAGTCTTTGTCTACCTCCCTCAACTCTGATATTTGGCAGGAAGGAGGACAAGTCAGATACACATTATGTGTCCATATCATTTTGCCCCCACTATCGATGAGTCAATTATCTTTTCAAAATCCTTATGTTTTACCTGGCCTCAGAAGACCCTGAAAACATCAAGCTGATATTGCAATATTGCAGCTGGGTAACAAGGGCCCTCCCTTCCAAAGAAAAGGCAAGGGAGAAAGACCTTAACAGAGAAAGGGCACCTTTCTCAAATGTAACACTTACACTCCTGATTGTTTTGTCACCACAGATTAACAACAGCTCTCATTCTACAATCTCTACAAGAAAAATAAATAGTGGATCCAACATCTACTAGGCTGTACTTCAGTAGCAAAGTTTACTGACTGTAACACTTAAAATGTACACTCAATTAAATGGCTAGACATATTTAAGCTATCCCCTAGCAAGAAAGCAATGCATTCAAGTCCAATGCAAAGAACATATTTCATAGCATTGGATGATTTTTTATCTCTTGTTCCTGGGCAAAAAGCAAAGCAAATTTTATATTGACATGCCCTGATCCAAGTTTGACGTATAAAGTAGGAACCTATCCCTGAAAACAGATTAAGACAGAGACCTGAGCCTCCCTTTTTCAACCGTGGATGCCTAAAATAGATTCCCCAAAATAACTTAGGAGATCTTTCATGAGCCAGAGTGAGTCAATGTGAACATGGTGAGGGCCAAATTCAGGCATCCTGAGACTCCAGCACATTCGTTATGGAGAAAACATACAGGAGTCCTCTTTTGGACAGGGGAAAAAGAGGCATCTTTGCCTGTCTTGGCATTCCTAAATCCACCCTACCTCGGTGCAAAACTTAAGCGCCACAGCTTGCAAAAACGAAACCACCTTTGGAAGAAGCGGGTAGAGAAAGGTCCTTCATGGGACGTCGGGGACCCAAAAGAATAGAGATTGGGGTGCAAGTGGGGCTTTCTCCGCTCTTCCTTCTCCCCAAATTTTCTGCATACCCGCCCCAAGTTTCCCATGGGGAAGAGCCCAAAGAAGCGCTCTGCGCACGTTAAGGTTTTTCTCCTCCTTTTCTGCACTCCCCTCCCAAGCTTTTCACAGGTATGAAACTCCAAAGAGGCACTCTGCACATGATGAGAGGTCCGCGCCGGAATCTCACCAGAGGGCGCGCGGCACGGCTGCTGCTGCTTGCGGTGTCTGTCGCTCTCGTAGAAGCCCAGCGTTTCGGTGCGAGGCGGAGACTGCCTATCGCCGCCGCTGGCTAAGCCGCTCTGCCGCGGCTGCCCGCCTTCCGCCTGCAACAGTAGTGGCAAGGGTTCCGGCGGGGAGCCCCGGCGGGGTCCTGCCCCGCCGCCGCCATCCCCACCACCCGGGGCCGCCTCGGCCAGGCCCGCCATCTTCGCGCGCACGACGGCGGCGGCTCCCGGCGGTGGAGGGAAGCAGCCGCCACCCCGTAGGACGTCATCTCTGCGCGACACGGAGCGCACCAGCCGGGCCCATCTTTCCCGCGCGCGTGAGGACCGAGCTACCTGCGCCGCCATCTTAGTTGCGTTTCCCAGCCGACTGTTGCCCTGGTGATGCCCCGCCTCTCGGGGAGGTGGAGCCTCAAGTTCCCAAGCAACGTTTCCTGAACGTAGGAAAGAGGAAGTGGGTTGGGGCAGTCTGGGCCTATTCGTGGCTTCTCAGTCTCGGCAACTTTAAGACGAGTAGAGCGCAACTCCCAGAATTTTCCTGCATCCTGACTGGGAAATCCTGGGAGTTGAAAGCGACTCGTTTTAAATTTGATAAGACTAAGAAACACTTCATTACCTTGTTCCTTTGGGTTTCGTCCAGCCGTTGCGTAATGAAATGGCCCCAGTGCCTTCGCACAGCTTTTCCACCGCCCCTTCAGGATCTGCCTGCACTTAACATCTCTTATTCCTACATTGCATTCTGAAGTCTGGAATGCAGTTTCAGTGCCTAAGTCCACAGGCCCTTTAAGAGGTGTGCGTCTTTATTGTAGCCCACATGTAGAAAGATCCAGGGCGGCACAAAGTCGCTTTGGCATAGGCTAATTGAAACGTCAGCACGGGATTGGGAAAATAAAATGGCCCTCACTGAGATGCTGTTGTACAAATCTGTGGTGTGGTGGTCTTTTGAAGACAGGGCATCCCTGGGTTCAATAGAAGAGATTCTCTGTGGCTCGGTTGAATTTTGGAGTTGACTCTTCCTGAATTTGATGGTTTGCTTGCAAGATGGTTCATTACTGAACATTTCATGAACATTTCATTCGCCATCATCATGATGGTGAATGTGGGGTTGCTCCCTACAAACTGCATTGACAGTTTTGAAAGTCCTTTGATTATAGTCGTTTTTGGCTTGAACCACCAAAGAGGAAAATGTTGTGGGTTCCATCCCTGAGGGAGATACACCTGGTGGGACCCATAAGAAGGTCCTTTTCTGTGGTGGCCCCCTCTTTCTGGAAGATCATTCCCCCAGATATTAGAATGGCCCCCTTTCTAATACTCTTCAGGAAGGCATTGAAGACCTGCTTCTGCCAGCGGGCCTGGGGAACCGGATGGAGCCCATCAAATGATTTGTGTGATCTGCTGTCATGGGGGGGGGGAGTTGGGGGGTGATTTTTCCCCCCCCCAGATCTTGTTCTATTGTACTTTATTCATTTATTTGATTCTTTTTGTTTGTGTTTATTGTTTTTGTTTTGTTTTAAATATGGTTTTACATTCTGTAAACTGCCTCACCCATATGGAAGGGCCGGCTTCTCTATATAAACAGGCAGCAAATCCCACACTGCCTTCCCAAAAGATAATCCAGACAAGAAGCACACTCAGAAGCACTATCGATTTTATTCTACTTTATTACTGTGACAGAATGTCAGAAGTCTGAAAATATAGCTCATCTACTCCTTGTCACCTCTCCAGCCCAAGAAACTAAGGATGGTGGTGACTTCTGAGATGTTTGCCACATCCCCATTCCTTCTGCAGGCTCAGCTGCAGTTTACCTAATTATTGCCCTGGCTATGACCCTTCCTCCTATCTCCCAAGGTCATTCCCATTACTACTACTGGAGGGCTGGAGAAAGTGGAAAAGAAGGCAGCCCCTGTATTTGGGGGGTTTAAATGCTGCCATGGGGAGAAAGGGCTTGGATGCCTGGCCTTCTTGCTTTGGATAAAAAGAGGGTTGAAAGGTGATATTATTGAGGTGCAAATGGTTATATGTGGTGTGGAGAAAGTGCACGGGGACTGTGCACTCAAGAGTTTTAGGAAGCAGATCAAAGAAAGCATTTATTTATACTCCTTTTACAATGTAGAATTTGTTATGATATGAACAAAATAACCCTTGAGTAACAAGGATATGCTCATAGAAACGTTTATGAGAGTAGTAATGAATAATTATTCAGCCACATACAGATACACTAAATTGAGTTAAAGTTTACTTTAAGAAATAGCTCAGTCCAATAAACAGTCCAGATCATATACGTTTTACAGTCCAAAGAATATCCAGTTACAAAGACTTCTTACCAGTTGCCTTTGTCATTTACAGTAAACAAAAATATCAAAGTATAAGCACAGCAGAAATACAACAGAGAACCTTAGATAGCAACAGAATGTCAGAGAGACAGAATGTCAGAGAGAGCAAGCTATGATCTCTAGCTCCGTCTTATGGTAATTTGCAATATAATCAACCAATCGGAATATAGTATAAATCAATACAGTGATTTTTGTCTTAAAGCTACAAACATACATTGTTGGTTTATATATTGCCAACCCAACTAATTGGTGGACAAGATTCCAAACAGAATTAACTGGAGCAACCTCCCATAAATCTCCAGGAATGTACCCAGGTCTCTTTTAAAGCCATTCATATTTATCAGTTCTGCTAACTCTCGATATTATATCCATTATAAGTATAAGGACTTGCCTCTCCTATCCCCTCAAGAAAGCAGAACTCTTGAAACAAGCTGCATTTCAAAAGGAACTTTTACTGGGAGATGATGGCAAGGAGAATAGGCAGGATCTGAAATTCCCACTCAAAACCATTAGGTTAAAAGTTGTAGAAATCTCTCCCCTCTGTCCAGTCCAAAATGAACCAACCCACAGGTGGGAACTTTAAGCTGTGAAGGCAATAAACTGTTCTCAGGCTCGCTCATTCCTCTGGAGCTGAGACAAAACAGATGAGCCCAGGCTCACCCCGCACTCCTCCCATTCCCAGGAAGATACAGCAAAGTGAAGGAAAGGCCAGGGATTTGGAAAGCTCATAAAAAGTCTGGTTTTTCTGTTTATTTATTGATTAGCCCTCAGGCCATATCAAAGTGCAAAGTTCCAGAAACAAATGGTTACTAAAGTTTGATAAAAGCAATTTAAAATGGAATTGGATAAAATACGATTTAAAATAAAATTGGAATAAAATATGATTTAAAATGAAATTGGAATAAAATACAGTCTAAAATGAAATTGGAAAATAATACAATAATTTAAGACATAGATAAAATATGATAAAATAATATTTTGATGTCACCCCTGCAATCTACCCCGCTCAGTCCCACATATGAAGATTTCAACTAACCCATTTTGCTTAAGTACTATGCTGTGTTAAACATTATTTTCAGATTCTGGCTGCAGATAAGGTAAGTAATTTTGATATGGGGATTCAGGGATGGGATTCTACCAGTTCAGAATGGTTCGGGTGTACCGGATGTTAAAGGTACAGCTGGTTCACCGAACCGGTATTTCAACCAACCGGCTGGCCCCTCCCTTCCCCTCCCTCCCCTCCCAGGAGTCTCCATGTGGCCCATTTTCGATGAGTTAAGTGTGAAGGCTCTGGGAGGGGAAAATGGGCCTTCTGAAAGTCTGGAAATGGGCCTGTTTCTGGCTTCTGGGGGTCTCCACAGCCCGGGGGAGACCTCTGGTGTCGTATCGGCTGATACGAACAAAAGACGCGAGGCAGTGACTTGAGTTCAGCTCATTTATTAAGGGAAAACACAAGTGGGGTGAGTGGGGAAAAGCCGCGGCTTAAATGGATCTGGCGCCGGGCGCTGCGGCCAATGACAGCCGTTCGAATCGCCCGCGATCGGCTCGGCCAATCGCGGTCGATTCCGAACAGCCAATCAGTGCCGCACGCTCGACCAATCCGGTGGCTGCGCGCTTTGACCAATCCGGGTTGCCGGATTTTGAGAATGGAAATGTCCATACAGAACATCTGGACCAGTGGTGGGATTCAAAAAATTTTACTACTGGTTCTGTAGGTGTGGCTTGGTGGGCATGGCAGGGGAAGGATACTGTAAAATCTCTAGTCAGAGGTGGTATTTTCCGGTTCTTGGAACTACTCAAAAATTCTGCTACCAGTTCTCCAGAACTGATCAAAACCTGTTGAATACCACCTCTGCTCTGGATCCTTGGGAGGGTGAAAAACGGCCTTCCAGGAAAAACTGGAAGTCATAAATCAGACCTATTTCCGGCTTCCAGTGGGCCTCCGGAGGCCAGGGGAGACTGTTACCGCCCTCACAGAGGCCCATGGGAAGCCTCTGGACCCTTGGGAAGGTGAAAACAGCCTCCCACGGGCTCTGGAGGCCTGCTGGAAGCGGGAAACAGGAAGTTCCAGTAGGCCCCACCCACCATGGCCCCACCCACCCAGCAACTGGACAGCAAACTGGGATTTTTGAATCCCACCCTGGGGGATCCCAATGGGTCACTCATTTGGATATAGACCAAGGTACTTGTCTCTCACTCTCTTATACAGGCAACAATGTAATAGGATGTGAGCCAGGTCTTCTATCTCTACCGCTCCACAAATGCAGAGATGTACATTGTGGGTATAGAATGGAATCTCCCATATCTGACCATTATATCAAGCTGTTTGAATCTCACTCACATAAATATCTCCCTAAGATGTTTTGGCAGTTGTAATTTCAAATAACTGCCTATTTGAAAAGTATATTTGTATTTGCTCAGCCATTTTAAGTTACCCACCTTACTAAGGATAGCTATGTCATTTTGTGTTTCTATATCCTTAATTCTTTGGGCAGCTCTTTTTTTAAACTGTTCTCCTGTTACACAAGAGAAGAAAGGCCACAGTTCTTACAAAATTTGTTAGTTTGGTGACCCAGGAGATTTTGATTGTGATTTTATTTGCTCTAGTACAGGAGTCCCCAACCACCGGTCCCCGGACCGGTACCGGTTCGTGGAACAATTTCTACCGGGCCGCCGGTTTGCTGGGTGCTGCCATCTTATTTTGATGAAAAAGTGCTTCCGGTGAGCTTTTCCAGGTAGAAAGTGGCGTTTGGGTGCTGAAAGAATTCTCGCGCCTTAGTTTCATTGAGGGGGGGTGGCTTCGAACAAAACTAAGGCACAAGGATTCTTTCAGCACGCATGGCAAGGCAAGCCGAGCGACCGTCCCGAAGCCGTCCTGAAGCCCATCGACACAGATACAAAGGAGGAGTTGAAGGT